TACTAAATTGATACAATTATACTTAAACTAGAACCATGCACTAAGAAAATCCATTGGCCGCACAACAGCACCAGTCAAAGGGCGCCGTCCAGAAAATTCACCAAGGGCTACACACTCACTTTTAACTCTGTAGTGGCTGGCTCTGAATTGCTAATAAAAGGTACAGCCCTTCCTCAAAAGCCCCAATTGTCAGAAAGTCTTTAAAATGTCTCTACTTTGACGGGGATTTATAGAAACTTTTCTGCCTAGCAAAGAAAGCGCCGGTTCAGTGGAGAGGGGCTCTTTCTAGAGACAATATTCTTTTAGATACCTTATCCTGTACTGGGCATAAATAGCTACCTCTATGGAATGTAGATGGAAGGCATTTACGTTTTGATAACATTGGAAACTTCAAGTGCCAGGCGCCATGGAGCGTTGAGAAAAGTGGGGGGGGGCTAAATAATGGGGGGGGGGCTAAAATCTAGTAAAAAGTGGCTTGACTGGTGATTCACTGGTAATTTTTTTGCTTTTTGGAAAATAGTGGGGGAAGGCTGTAGCCCCCTAGTCCCCTTTTCTGCGGTGCCTGAGTGTGTTGGTTATGGACGTAGCATGAGAAACTCTTGCAGTCAAGCCCCTTTTGCCTCATTCCCATACAATATAGAAGGTATCTTTTTCATCAAGCAAATCTAAAAAATATGACCTTCTCTTACCTGTTGCATCTTTATTGGTTTTTTTAAAAGAATATTGCAGATTTTTTCTTGAAAAATGTAAGAGGAAGGGGTAATTACCTTCCCCCATGACACCACCAGTGTTTGTAAGAATCAGCGAGAGACAAATGTTAGTTGATAGTGATAGTTGGTCTAGTGATGTTTAAAGAAGAATGAATGAAGCCCAGCCCAACATTAAAATAATGAAAATGCTATGGTAAAAATAAAATTATGTTTATGGACTTCGAATTGAAACTCGAAATGGAGAATATCTCAAAGAGAGAAGCTTGTAAAAAAACTAACGGAGGTTTTACGGACAATGTCAAGCACATTTTCAAGAGTTGAGGTTCATTTAAGCGAATGATTATGTGCAATCCTGGATAAATCATAAAAATATCTGCCTTTCACTTGCAGTAAGAGTTACGTGTTTATCTTTTGCAACTGGTAAAAATCGATATAAAGTTAGATACGAAAAATGCATTATGCAGTGTGTGTGCGTTAAAGGCATTTGACATGCATAAGTACAGCGAATCCAAAAATATGATCAGAGCACGCGCACAAGAAAGGTATTGAAAACTGCTCACGTGAAACCACTTCGCGTTGCTCTAGGATTTCACCGATTTGTAGAAAGGCGGAAACTGTTCACGTGTTATCTCATCGTGGTCGAGCAGCTGGTAAGCCACTTTTACCTGTGTCAAATCCCTTCAACAGCCTTATATCTGTTGGTATCAAACTTGATCTTCCAGCAAGGTTTCGCTTCTGGACTTTAAAACCTCGAAACTTGACATTGATAAAGGTTATATTCAATGTGACGGAATCTTGAAGGATCCAATTCATGGTTATCAATGATATCTTTAATCAATACGAAATGTCCTGATAATAGTTGAAAAATAAATATAACGTTTGAACGACAAAAACCAACTATTAGCTGAAAATTACTTGCCATTAAAATGACAACGGATAAATGGATTCTATATCACGGTAGCAAACCATGAGTAGAAGGGTAATTCCTAAGTAAGATCTTTATCCAAAATCTGACGTAATATGTCAAAGGTTGAGGTTTTTAATGGGACTTGGAAGGACAAAAAGAGCAAACGATCTTAAAACCAAAAACAAAGTGATGATCTTATCGATTAATACAAAGTTTGGAAAAACAAAGTACAGCGAGGGACCAGGACTGCTTTTTAAGTACTTATATGTGTTGGTACAAAATTTGAAAATAGCCTTTAAAAAAATCGACATTTTAAAGTCTTTTAAACGTTTCCATCGACGATCTTCCAAGTAGGAATAATAATGGTCCAAAACTTTTTGAGCTTGGAAATACATAAACTCAGTAGTGGTTGAAAAACGCCGATCAGAAGTGCTAGCACGTGGCTGCAAGGGTTGCTAAATCAGTTCCCTCGTCTGTTGAAAATATTACCAATGGAGTCGCAGGGTGAAAAATGAACTACATTTGGCTACACGATAGCGATTTTTCATTTTGATATAGACGGAACGAAGACCAGGCTCTGTCAACTGTAGGAAACATATCACCATTATGGTTAGTTTCGCACAATCTGGGTTTGCTTCTTTTCGAGTGAAATATTCTATGTTGCCTCGCATAGATTTAGCGATGTGCGGCGTTAATTTCAAAAGCCGGCTTTCAAACGGGGCGCGTATCCCAATCCAAGATCTATTTCGTTACATTATTCTTGAAAACCAACAGAAGGGATTAATGCAAATTCGTTCCAACTCTAACTGGAACATGTCACAGCAGACAGTTGTAGAGGAACGGGTGAAACGGTTGTGGCATTGAAGAGCGATATTTAATACATTAAGTAGGTTGCGACATTAAATAGGGTCATATTTATAATTTAAGATCATTTTTTATAGCAGACCATAGACATTTCCACCCTCGATTGTATCCTTTGAAAGCGGATGACAATAAGCCAAAAAGAGTCCTAAGATGCTTTCAAATCTGCGTCACTTTTCTCAATCGTTTTACTGTACCCAGTTAGATTACCTCCAACCGGATCAAAACACTATCATTGTACTAGCCATTCTTAGAACACCAATCACTCTTTTCAATCTTCTATGAACTTCCTACCTCATCTCTTAGCATTTGACATATGTTCACTTTCATGTCTGTAACCCTTTAGTTCACCTGGAATCGATACCTCAAGTCCTTTTACGATGGGTATATAAGGCTTCACTGATTATAATTACTAAAATTTCAACTTGGCGCATTTAATGCAGAAAATCTTATGTTTGACAGGGCAATTATTCGAAAACGATGTCTGTTTTGAACCTTGTTCCTTATTTTGACCAATTCATTTAACAAAAATCTAAACCAAGCAAAAGAAACCATTAAAAAAAGAACATTTTCCTCACATATGCTGCTGCAAGTCTTCCCGCTATTACTTATATTCTAACCTTAGCACCTAAAACAAGTGCCTACAACCCCGGACAAGCAGCGTTCAAATCGTCCCAGTGCGGTATATCTTTCATCAAAATACACACGCCTTAAATTTGTATAACCCTCAATTCCTATTTACATCCTTAAAGATGTCACTAAAACAGCTTGATTATAGAAAAATTAGGTTCTTCCTTACGATGAAATACTTCAGCCCCTGTTGTCTTTGTGTTTATTTCCAAATGTCCGAAGTTTCTCTGTCCGTTGTCCTGCACTCTTTATCTCTGTCTCCGGGAAAGGGGAGGAGTAAAGAAAAATAATGAAGTCCCATCACTGGAAGCTTTTGATATCAAATGAATGGATTTTTCTCTGTGCTTCGCGAGTCTCCATTCCATTATTGTTTCTTGTACATTGTTGTATATGTAGCTATACAAATTAGAAAAGAAAAGCCTTCGTTATGTTTTTTAATATTTTTCAGTTGGTCGTGTTTTCTCTCTTATAAGGTCCCAGACAATGTCGTTTAATGCAATAACAGAAGGCAATTAGCAAATGCCATATCTATTAACTGCAGACAAGCATGATAGTAATCAGCCCCGAAGATATGACAAAGAGAGACAACTTGAAGTTTTATCTATAGAAACGATGTCAACTCGTTTCAAGTGGTCGAGACATGGAGGAGTGGTGTCATGGTAATTAAGCAGGCAGGCAGGAACGAGAGTCAGACCGTTAAAAGACGCGCGATAAAGAAAAATATATAGGAAGCAGTGTCTCCAGACATACTGAAATTGTTCCGCAAGTGACTCTGAAAAATTATGCAAAAGGTTAGTTTAGAAGATTTATAATGAAGATAACATTAGAAAGGTTAAAGGCAGTCGGCCATAAGACATCGTTAACCATGAATGCGTTATCTCATCGTTTCCGATCACTTTAAAAAATTGTTTTCTGTTGGCCTGTTACTGTTGTGACGTCAAAGAGGTGGTTCCACTACAGGGATGCTGAACGTTCCCCCTCCAGAAATACTGGCTGTGAGTTCCCCCTCCAAAAATACTGGCTGTGAGTCCCCCCTCCAGAAATACCGGCTGAACGTTCCCCCTCAAGAAATACCGGCTGAACGTTCCCCCTCCAGAAATACTGGCTGAACGTTCCCCCTCCAGAAATACTGGCTGTGAGTTCTCCCTCCAGAAATACTGGCTGAGCGTTCTCCATCCAGAAATACTGGCTGGACGTTCTACTTCCCAAGTTACTTATTTCACTTTATTTTTTTCTAAAGAGAATACTTAAAGGCGTTCCAAAGATGTAGGCAAGGGGAAGTTTTCTAAAAGTAACGTCTCCTTTCACAGAAATATACCCATTTTAAAAAACTGTCTTTTGTCAAATCGTATCATGGTTTTATCATTGACTGATCTGGAATATAATTAAGCGATACCTTAAAAGACATTAGAAACAAAATCACTCGAGGAGCCGGGGCAGGCATTGAAAAGATGCAGAAAGTAAGGAACGCGCCGAGAACAAACCACAACGAGCAAAAGCAAATTAAATTTCACATCTTTTCTCTGCTGAGGCCCCGTATGCCGGGTTTCAATTTCGATGAATTCAAGCAGACAGCGTTGGAATACAACTAACAGCCTGTTTGAATGATATACTTTGAGTTGATTATCTTTATAATAAAGGCAGTGGATTAACGCATGAGGTGTGAAAATATCTATCCACAATACTCTTACCAGCCAAGCTCATTGGGATTTCTAGTAGTTGCAAACGTACAAATATCATATAAAGTAGTCTTGGACAATAAGAAATGAAATTGTTCAAAGCATGAAAACCATGCGATGATACCACGGCAAATATTGGAGAAGACCGAGTCAGCTTATGTCATATCAGTAGAGGAGGCACTGATGAGAGACAACCTAGTAAATATCACAATCGAAGTATCAAGGAAAGGATATAAAAACATTTTACGCGCTTTACAGCTAAACTCTCCAAAACCTGCTTGTTTTTGGCACCATTTTGTTAACAACAGCATCGTTCTTGCAACGAGGGATATAGAAAGCTCTTACTGGAAATGGCATCATTCTTACAAGGCATTCTAAACACCACTAATAACCAAGTGTCACTGCTAATAACCAACAAATACCAGATCAAGAGACTTCAACAAACTGTCCCATCAACTTTTGTTGGTCGTTTTCGCAAACTTGTCACCGCTGCGTCCAAAAGGAAACCAGAGATTCATTTCATATACTTGTCACCCTGTTCTGCTAGCATTTTGGCTGAAGACTTTGCGTCGTAAAATAATTCGCTAATTTCCTCAACCTCTGCTTTGGATATCACGTCCTGCCCTGGAAATAAGAGCAAACCCATGGTTTAGTTTGAAAAAAACATCGTCGTTAGATGATATTTTAGGACGAAAGTTACAATAAATTTAGCATTTGACAGTACATCGGTTCTGAATAAAAATATTTGCTAATTTTGATGCTCTGATTTTTAAAAAAATGGTTTCCAAAAAGGTTCAGAACGCATTTCAGATTGCTTTTGAAAATATTGTTTATCATATTAAAACTAAAAAGTTGCTTGTGGAAAAGATTCATTTTTTTAAAAAATAGCTGTCTGGTACGTAATTCCTTGAGTTTAAAAACTTGAAACAAAGAAACTTCATTTCTTTCAAACTAAAAAAAATTATTTTATAAAACCATCGAAAACCAGACAACAAAATCTAAGTGAAAAATAGATATTGGGGTTTTCGTTTACGGAGACGTTATACCAAGACAATAAGTTGGGCTGCGGAAAAATAAAGATTGGAATCTTCGTCGGATACTGTGTGAACAATATGGAAACTAGGATTAACATGTACAGTGTCAAACGATTTCTACATCAATAGGAGCAACGAGAGGTCGGCAGACTGAAAATTTATATACACTAATCAGTTTTTCTGCATCCATCATTTTGCGATCAAAAATCAATTCATGACACATATCTGATAGTTTAATAAGGTAAAGTTTCGTGCTGATGAGATCGATGAAGTTTGATGTCATGTTGGTGTTAAGGCCGTGCTTGGGTTCAGATGGGGAGCTATCGTTGGTCTGCAACTGGTATTCACAACAAGTTTTAAGGGCTCTTTCGAATGTAGGACAACGTGTGTCTATTAACTATGAGTGAATGAAGTAATGGGTTAAAACAAGGGTTCAGTGCAGCATTATCGAATAAACAAATTTAACGTCTGGCAAACTGCGAAACTACCAGTTGTGTACATCAGAGCCCATCTTTAGCCAAGAATAAGTGTAGGCCTATTTCAAGTTATTATTAAACATTAAGTAACAGTGACTTTCAGACTGGGGTGATAGAGGTTCGTAAAATGCAAAATTAAACTATGAAGACATCGATAAAGAATGTTTTATCAATAGCAAATTTTACATTTGTTTCTGGCAGGCTTTTGAAAGCAGTTTTAAGAACACCGAGAAGCTATGTTCATCGAGCTGGGTCCTGGTCATTTCTCATGCCAAAGCTTGGTCATGGCAGGACCTTCAGGCCAAGACCTTTGGATCTGTAGCCCACGACCCTAACCACATCCATCCGCACAGTTCTTCACATTTTACCTTCAGTCAGGTTATTTAACTGACCTACTAGCGTTTTGGCCAACCAAATAAATCTTACTGACCTAAGAACGATTTTTCTAAACAGAAGAATTTTACTGACCAACTGACGATTTTTTAACTAAGGGAAGATTTTACCACACTGATCAAAAACTGGGAAATGGTGGTGGTTTGAAAACCCCCCTTAACCCTCTCATGAGACAGGCCCCTGATTGCCGATGCCTTAATGAAATAAAAACGATGCGAGCTATATCAAATGAACTCACCATTAATTTTAGCAAGCAAACTGGCTGGAGTCAACAGTTGGACAGCATACCTAACAGAAAGCAAAAGTGTTTAGAAGAGATGCTGGGTCAACTCAGAATATTCATGCGAGTAAAAATATGAACTTTGTAAGGCAGAAAAAAGCGCAACAACAAATATGGTGGGCTACTTTAATATTCTCAAGAATCTTTATCATAGATCTTTGTTCCTTTTTCTATTTCCTTGCGTTTCACAATAAATTTCTTCGCAGTAGAAATTATTATCCAATTCTGAATCCCCTTTTCAAAAACTTTATTCAGTTACAAAGATTTGACATTAATATATAATATTCCTACAGGGAAAAAAGCTCTTAAAGAATCTTACTGCTGATGTTGTGGTAAAGACTATCAAGTTCGTTTACTGGTAGATTGGGGTGTCTCGCAGTACAAATTTCATTGAAAATTCTTTGTTTGTTTATATTCTACAAGCTAAAACAAAATATTGTCTGAAAAGTCCCAACAGGCAAACAAAATCATTAACACAACTAAACATTAGAAACTTAAAATTTCACAAAAAAATCATTAAAAAAAACCAAAACACTCTATTCTACAATAAAAGTTTATTCCCCTGTTCTCGCTATTTACTGCGATGAACAAAACTATCCGTAGATATAAGTGCACTAGCAACAGTCAGAACAGAAGAATAAAACATGGCACAACAGATACCTTAGCAATTAAAAGATAAGCACCAAATTACATACCTCAAGGTCGTTTTGCAGCCAGTCTCCCCAAGAAACTGCAAAGATTCTTCGTTAATTTGTATTCCTTCTATTTGTGCTCTGATTTTCAAAATCTAAAATAAGGTATGAGAAAGATTCTTCCTATTAAATCTAGCCATCGTTGTCCGCAATTCAGAACATTGCAGGCCAGGGGCCTACACATACTTAATCTATCTATTTTTATCTGAAATCAAACAAGACACGACTGGAGTTGAACTAAACATCTGCTTCACAATTTGCGAAAAAACTGAATCACAATTTGACTTGCTATGAATTACCAAGGAGACTTTAACCTATTCAAGAACATCCCTCTGTAGCTGAACAGCCCTGCCTTGTTTCAAAAAATTATAAATTCACGAGAAGGTGTTTAGAGCCAGAAAATGTAACTGCTTTGTTCAAAAGCAAATCTTACGCTTAACATACCATTAAAATTGATATCACTTTATTTTTGGGGTAGGGTTGCCCCATCAGTCGAGAAAAACTGTTTTACAGGAGGGAGCACCTGGTGGCAAAATTTCTGGTTACTTGGTGACCAGATAACAAAATTACTGGTTACTTAGTGACCAGATAACCAGTACTGATTTGCAAAAACTGTGCTGGCAAAAGCAAATTATTTATACAATGCAAGGTTACCTGTATCATTTCTTGGTTCGAATACGGCATTGTTCTAACAATCATCAGCCTGTCTAGCAAATCCAAGGGAATGCCATGCGGAGATTTAACATCCGTGCCTCTGTAAAGATATAAAAGCTTTTAGGCCCCTTAAAAGAAATTCCGGGTCACATTTAAACCTTTGTTAAATAGGGAGAAAAATACTTAAAACCGAGCAAGCATACAGCAAGAATATGAAGGCTTTTCATACGTGGCTTTGCTTCAAGACGTGTCAAAAGGGTTGTTAAAGAACAGTAGAAAAGTATTGAACAGGCAAGCCATCCTCCTCCAGCCAATTTCGACGTAATAAAAAGATGTGACACGAAAGCGTCTACGGAAAACACTTTCATCTCGATGGCTCAGGTTATCAAATTATGCAGTGATTGTTTTCATCATAAATTTGCTTGCAGTATGAGGAAAAATATGAAATAAAAAGTAGCTAAATAGGAATTACATTAAAACCTTTATCATAACGGCGAACGTGGGATGTAAGTTTTAGAGAGATTTCCGTTAAAGGGAGCTTTCCATTGTAGGAAACTTCCCGCCGTGGAGAGTTCTCCGTTGTAGAGAGGTATCCGTTGAAAGGATTGAGGAGGGGGGGGGGTTATTTCTAAGGAGTTGTCGGTAGTAGGGAAGTATCCATTGCAAAGAAGTTTCTATTCCACGAAACTATCCAGCAATATTAGTACGTATTTTATTTATTTTAGGTCTAAGAGCATAAACAAAAGGTGTAGATAGTTTACTCAAGATGCTTATGGAGCCTCATAGGAAACATCGTAAAGTTGGCTAGTAAAATGGCTGATCAGTCAATTCGTGTGAATTTACCTTATGACACATGTTCCTCGATTGGTTGCAAAAATGACAATAGGAGACAAGGATGACTCTAACGCTTTGTGTAAGTAGGTGAAACACTCGATGTCCAGCATGTGCACCTAAAATGAATCAGACAAAACTGACTGAGAAATAGCTAGAGCATGCTATAGCACAAATATAAAATAATCGTCATCCATATATGCTATTTTATATCCTCTCACAATTCAAAAAGTTCATTGAAATAAGCCTGAATTGGAACTCGTAACTTTTGCAGGAAACCGAAGTGCCATGTGATTCTGTATGTCCATAAAGCACTGCTAATTGCCTTAAAGAATGCATATAAAATGGCATCAAATGAAAAAAGGTATTGTCTAAGATATTTTAGCGCTTGAGAAAACTGTTGGCAGTTTACCCACCAAAGTTAAGCAAAGGAGAAACAATATTTTGTCCATCAAAGCTCGTCTGCCACAACACAGGACTGTTTTTGAAAATATGCAAATAAATCAATTCTATTGAAGAACTATGTCTTTCTCGGGGTATACACTTTCAACAAAGATTGGCCTACTTGCTAGGAATGGTCTTGTGTTCAAGGATTTTAAATTCAGCATAGGTTAGGACAAAGGTGCATTCTTTCTGGAAGGAAACTAGGTCAAAAGGCACATATTACCTCGTCGACAAACAGAACTCCTGGTACAAGCTCTGCAACACCTTGGTCTATGTACTTATTGACCACCTGTATGAAAAAAGAGCTTGGTAAGACATTGCTGTCCGCAAAATACAACGAAAGACGGAACATACAATTAGCTTCATGATCGAGTTTGTAATTCTATACAGAATAAACTACAATTAGTAAATATACTAAATTTAAATAAGGTGGCATCTTTGAAGCCTCGAAAAATGAAATTATTTGATCAAAGCTGACATTCAAATGAACAAAAACTTCCTAATGACAAATTATAAACATAAATGACTCACCTTATTGATCTCCTTTCGAAGTTTATCTATGACAGAAATGATTTTGTACCTTTAAAACTGGTGTGGAGGGTAGCAAACAACATTATTAAAACTGTGCTCATCGAGGGTCAAGTGGTGCCTAAAAATGTTCGACTGTCTGAGAAGGCTGAAAGATAGCAATCTGGGTGTGTAATACATAAACTATACCAAAAGAGCAACACTTTTAAACAGAAGCAAGCAGTTTTTCGTCATCAAACATATAGGCATAATGAATTAAACAAATAGAGAAGTGATTAATCACCGTGCATAATAACTTATGCTAGATTTCATGATGGAAAATATAGAAGAATAAAACTAGGAATTAAAGTGAATTGTACTAGGAAAAAAGCGGCCCGAAATGCCGTTAATAAATTCGCTATTTTTTCCTAGTACAATTTTACATAAATTCCTAGTTATTGATAATTTACCTGTGATTTCAGTCTTCTTTGGTTTCATAAGTTGACCCATCATGGAGAGAATATCTTGACCACCCTTGAACAAAGATGCAGAGAATGGATAAATTATTACAGGGAAATAGGCCTAGGCAAAGTCACAAGATCTTTGAGGGATAATACCCCACGAAATAACTGGAAATATTGAAAAAGAGATTCACCATGCTTCACTCACTGATAGGCTAATTATATTAACAATTTAAGGGTAGGGCCATAATACAGGAGGTTACACATCTAGTTAAACATGACAACGAGGCAGATAATGTGTGAGAAAGAAGAGACAGTAATAAAGAAAGATTTGCAGAAATATTGCAATCAAAAAAAGATTTTTTGGCGTTTCTATGTAACATTCGCATAGGGGGAGATTTTCGACACAAATCTACCTGATTTATAGCTCTTTGTTATTCAAAATTAAAATTTAAATAATTTCAACAGGTTACTTAAAGTTTCATGCCTCTTTTGAAATAAAAAACCAAAGTCCTTGCTTAACAGCAAAGAGATACCCTAGAATTAGTTCTTATAACAACAAAAATAAATTTTCAACCGGCGGTTATGAGGCCGAACCAGAAGTTGTGTTGCGCCATACTATGTGACGAAAACCGTTACTTTATTCGACTATATGGCTTTAAAATGAGCACAAAACTGCGGCCGCATCATGGTTCAAGCCACAATGATTTCAAACAGGAATGCAGATACAGCAAAATGCCAGGATAAAAGGCATCAATATTGGTATTTTTACAAGCTTAGCAATTTGTAAAGTGAAATAAAATCGAAACACGGTGCAATGCTGATTTCTATAACCAGGATTTGATTTGCATCAACAAAAATTTTAAAGTAGGTTTTCGTAATAATGTTGATAGGAGCTAAAGGAATAGGCCAGTCTTGTTGAATCACGTTGAATAAAAAAAAACTTTTTCCATACCTGCGGTCTAGCATTCGCAACATCTAAATCGTGCAACGTTACATCTTGCACAATTTCTTTCTTTTTGTGTACATCGCCTTTTGGCAGTGGGACGTATTCTTCAGCCTTAAAAAAACAAAATGTTTTCCCAAATAACTTATCAGAAAGAATGACACAAAAAGAATGAAATACTAAAGTACTTTTGATGCGACGTTTGTACACTGAGGAGTGTGAAACGAAAAGTACTTTGGCATGCTATGTTTTCACTTTTGCGTTCTATCTTTAAATTTCCTAATGAATACAACAGTATAATTTCATTTAATGTTTCGAAATATTTCTTAGACAATATAGAAAACTGCTTCGCTGTTTTTTGTGTCACAAAATTGAGCTAATAATTCGTTTAAAAAATCTTTATTAACTAGTAAACACTACTGTTATCAATTCTTGTGGAGCAAAATCCAACAAATAAAGAAAACTAAAATACTCAATTTTACAAACATTTGGTGAAAAAGTTCAATGACCACGAAAGATTAATTACCAGCAATGTAATGCTTCTAATAAATCTAACTTTATAGTAAATCTGTCGAGGCGAATTCTTAATTAGATAAATTCAGCTTAGAGTGGAATAAATCTTATGAGGGATCAAACACATTGATGTAATAATTACCTCAAGATCAAATTCTGTTGCAAATGCATCCGAACGTCCTTGACGCTAAAAATAATCGCAACAACACAAATTAACCAACAGAGGCCATTTCGTAAAATACCAAAATACAGTGTTTAGAAAAACTGAAATAATCTAACGTCTTAAAATTAATGGTCAATCTACATCTGGCAGAAGTGATTTGGTTTTTTACAACCCCTTTAACATAAGATTATCAAGAATACATCAATATTGGTATTCTTATTAGTAAAAATGTCTTTAAATAAAAGCAGCAAAATTGAGAGTTGAGATTTGCAAACTATGAACTTCCAAAAGCTCATGATCATAAAAACATCTGAATTCATTTTAGGTTTATGTTAAGTCCTTCATGAAAACGGCCCAAGACCGGGATTGTTTTGGATTCTCACAAATGACCATACAAAATTCAGCTATAATCACACATTCCCCGTCAACTTATCACAGCTTTAAATATGATGATGGCTCAGTGGCTAGAGTCACAGACTACAGCTCTGCTGGGAGCTTTCAAGGGCTCAATTTGCGAGTCATTCTTACTATTGTGTTGTTTAACTTTTTGTGTGTAATTTTGAGCCTTTCACCCTTTGATATTTCAAAAGCAGGAAGACAAAATTGATCAAAAAGATGTCGCAGTTTTATCCCAGAGTGATGCAGTCTTTAACAACACGTTCTACCTAAAAAGTAATCTTTCCATATGCACAAATTCAGTGTCAGCCCTATTTTTGAAGTTATTTTTCATTCCATTATTGCATAATTGGATGGTTTAAGGAACATTCCCAGAAACTCATAACTCAGTGGTTAGGGTCACTGACTGCAGATTTAGGGGGCTTGGGTTTAAGTTCTTGACGGAACCAAACTACCACCCAGTGTGAGGAAAGTAGCCAGCTCTCTGTAATTCAAGACGTAGGAATCTCGAGGTGTGGTCACATCAAGAGGTAGCACAAGGATGCTGCTCGATGGGCTTAGCTTCTCTGTATCCTAAAGCTAACTTGGGAAGCAAGGTATAAACAAATCCTAAAAACAAAAAAATTCATTCATCCTGTCTCTTTTACTTTCTAACTTTTTCAAGCAGCCCGGAGAGAAAAATTTGCAACAGAAATAAGAGCCTGTAGCTTCGCAGGAAATCTTTGCCTAGCACACACAAAAGACATCGTACTTACCTTTACAGCGCCGCTGTTTGCTTCAATGTAAATAACATCGCCAACTTCAATTTTCTCTTTTTGCAAACTCTCGTAAATCGAAGGATCGAGTTTCAGCTGTTTCGTTCCCTTGGCAGTCTTCAGTCCAATCACAACATGGCTGACTGTCTTTCCATAACCTGAAAGCAAGAAAAATCTTGTTTAAAAACACTGATATCGTTCAAAATTGCCTTGAGAACAGCAAAAAGCAGAACAGGACGGATAAACTGCATTGAGTATTTCTCTATCAGGTATTTCGTCCTCAGAGTAAAAAATTCAAGATAATGACTTAAGATAAGTAGAAATTTATCAAGATAAGGATCGAAAGTAGCGCGTGATGAAGAATGACGTGTTTGATTGGTGCCTTGACCTATACCAATCAGCAACTGCCAACACCTCACAGATTTCAATTAAGAGACAAAATTCTTTCTGCTTACACAAACAGGGATTCTTAACGTAGACATTTTCCAAAAAACTAAAATGAAAAGTCGACTTTGCTTGGCCAATGACTCTAAAATGATCTTGACAGTACTTTTTCTCATTCTAGATTCTTGAGAAGATGCTGACTTATGGTGTAATCAATACTTATTTGGTTGCTGTTACTTTTACAGACAATCATTGAAATATGGAACCAACGCATACTAGAGTATTTTTTGCTATATTGAAGTTCTGAAATACCAATGGTTTATTTTACAAACAAGTTTCCTATCTACCAGAAACAGTTTCCTGACAATAAAAAACCAATAGCCCCATTGATCGGATATTTGCATTGAATCGCCAAGACATTTAACTGTTAAAGTATGTAAAGTGCAATCGAGCCATAGAGATAAAGGGCACTTTGAAAAAGCACAAATTATCATTATTATAAAAGTAATTTAAACCACAAAGAACGTGTATAAAAATGATATCACTGGGAAAAGGCTACCAGTTGCATATGGTTGAGCAAGGTGCATAAAACCAAAAAATTTCTAGGGTTGTAAATAGAAGACTACAGAGGCACAGCCAGCATTGAAGCAAGCAAGGGAATGGAAGAATGCATGCTTTTGGTTCAGGCAGCTTCTAGCTTATGTAAAATCAAGGCTTGTGCCACTACAAATGATGTTCTTTCTAGAATGAACATTCATGCAAGAAATCCAAACAATAACCATGCAAGAAAAATCACGAGAAGAAAAATCATGAGAAACAATTCAATATTTTGGCTCCAAATTTTGGAACCCCCTTCCACTTTTCATTTGTGTTGCTAGCTCCGTTGCAGATTTTCGGTCGAAATTGAAAATTCATTTCCTTGACTCATACCGAAAACTCACTTCATGAACTCAACCTTGTTTCTCAATTAAAAATCTCTTTAAATTGTTGCTATTCATTTGGTCTCTACAGAAAAACCTGGCAAACATTTTGTTTTGAACCTAACAAAATATATTGTAGTTTTATTATTTCTAACCTATTGCTCCTCCTGAATCAATGAATCTTTAATACAATCATGTTCTGTAATCTTTAATTTAAATTTATTTTTGTGTAACACAGTATTTTTGTATGTATTTAGATGTAGTTTATTATGTAGAATTGTATTTAGGATTGATTGATGAATGATGAAAACTGAAACTGAAAACTTTTGCATAAAACCTTTCTCCGCGATTGGGCAAAAATTAAGGAGAGGATGAGAAAGATATACAGCCAGAGGGAAATAGATGAAAAAGTGCAGGAAAAGGGGCAAAAAAGAATGTGTGAATCAGTGTTCATAACATAAACTGCAACCTTGAATAAATCAAAATGGCAAAAAATATTCAAATTACCTCCCATTGGATTTTCTGTTTCGCATGGTGTTAGTTCTGTTACCTGCAAAAATATTGAAAATTTCAAAAAGTAAACAAAGTCAAAAGTAAAATTTTCCAGCAGAATTCATAAGTGTTGATTTGAATATAGCATGGTTGAGGAGAAATGAGTTTTAGAAACATAATTATGTTTTCATTCATCAAGGTTAGCTATCTAGAATTGTTTTTCATTTGCCACAGCTCACAGGGGTTGGAAAGAAATTAATTTATCTAAAAAAGATTTATTGATATTATAGGAACGCTATTATTTAGCAAGATGTGCAATGGTTCCTATCATATCCTGTGACTTTCCATCGTTGGTGTTCGCTTCGACGAATCTTATTTAACGTGCAGAGAACACGGAGCCAGTGAGAGAGACAGTGTGTTGCCTGTGTAACTCTGATGTGAACTGAACTTGACTGACTGAATTACATACAAATTAACATAATTATATACAAAATAAATGTGCTGAGTAATGATGTGTTGTGATGATGTAATGATGATGCAATGGAGGAGGAAATATCTAGGCTTGGGAAAAAATCAGTATGACATAGATGTGTGAACGTGTGATCAATGGTGAAGGGAATGTCCTGTGCTAGGTGATGCTGTGAATGACGTAGTTGGATGTCATGATGATGGCATGAAGTAGGAATATGGCCTAATTTACAATATTAAAATCACTACAATAGCTCCCCCCTTAGAATGCAAGCGGTTGTGAAGCATTCGACACGGAAGGGGAAAAGTACTAGGAATAAATTTAAATATTGTAAAATCGATGAATTAAAAATATGAGTGAATTGCGATAAAATATTAATTGTTCGAAATTTAAATGTCCAACCGTTATAAATCGATGAGAGTTCGAGACGTAGCCGGTGTTTCTTGAGGGTTCGGAATGCGATGAGAGTTGTGCGAGGTTTTTACGTCGTATGACCAGGAACCAGTTTGTTGAGGAGGTATTAAGCGATGTTGTTGCGTGGAGGCACTACGGTGAGTCGAGTGCTGCGATGCGTTTGAGGGCACTACGGTGAGTCGAGTGCTGCGATGCGTTGGGGGCACTACGGTGAGTCGAGTGCTGCGATGTGTTGATTGTTTGCCAAGGTTTTATGAATAGGATGACCAAGAACCTGCGAGAAGTTGGATGTGGAAAACTGGAGAGATCAGTGTGTGTTGGTGCTGCCAAGATGCATGTGGCGATTTGTGGTACTGTGTCCATGTGTTTGTTGTCGACAATTCCAGTGAGTTTTGCTGAGTTTATGATGACGAATCCGGTTGAATTGTGTTGGTGTTGAAATTGAAGTAGAGTTAACGAGTTAACCAACGATGGAGTTGCGGGTCACGTCGTGGTCACCATTATAGAAACGCTATTATGTGGCAAGAATTGCAATGGTTCCTATTTTGTCTGCTGTAACTTTCCACCGTTGATGCTACTTCAAATCTTATTTAACGTGCAGAGAACACGGAGCCAGTGAGAGAGACAGTGTGTTGCCTGTGTAACTCTGATGTGAACTGAACTTGACTGACTGACTGACTGAATTACATACAAATTAATATACTTATATACAAAATAGATGTGCTGAGTAATGATGTGTTGTGATGATGTAATGATGATGCAATGGAGGAGGAAAGATCTAGGCTTAGGAAGAAATCAGCATGACATAGATGTGTGAACGTGTGTACAATGGTGAAGGGAATGTCCTGTGCTAGGTGATGCTGTGAATGACGAAGTTGGATGTCATGGTGATGGCATGAAGTAGGAATATGGCCTAATTTACAATATTAAAATCACTACAATATCTAAGTCTACAACCAATTGGCAAAATTGACGATCAATTAGAACAGGCCAGAAAAAGCTTTTATGCAAATTGAAAGACACAATAATTGAAACACAGGTGGCTTTAAAAATAAAATATAGTAAATTTTCAGTTTGCTGCAATGAGGAGATTTTAGAATTTTGAAAATTTGCAAGCTAACTTTAAATCAATCAACTAGAATTAAATGTAGGAGCATTTGCCTGGAATTCTTGTACTTATCTTTAAACAAGACCCAAAAAGAGTTTGTCTTTTGAAATGGTTTGATATTCTTTGGGTGAACACACTGCATTTTGTGTTTGGTTAGGCCAAAAAAAACTTACAAAGGGAGCAACATGTTAGAAATCATTCTGAAAAATAGTATTTTACCTCTCCTTCATAAACCTCTTTTGTTTCTTTTATTCTGAGACCTGAAAACAATAAAGGCTTGCTGAGTCATGCAGAAATAAAAACATTCCAGTCCTTAATGCCAAAAGATATGATGATGACATTTCATTTGTCACTTAATAGGCTGGGTATAAGTTGTATTTAGTAGACATAATTTGTTGCTTTTCAGTAACAATAAGGATTAACATATTTTTGTGTATGTGTATGGTTTGAAATCAATGCCATGGTAACTTGCATCTAAATCAGCCTTATGTGAAAAGTTGGTTGCTTGTTCTATTACTAATGCATGTTGTTTTGAAAAATTAGTAATTCAAGCCTCTCTCAAAACAAAATGAGCATGCTCCATAAAATGAGCTCCTACGAATGTTGAGGGGCTCTATTTCACGCTTCAAAATAAAAATTCCTTGAGAGTATCTTTGGGAGGAGTGCAAAATGTTGCAAAAAACAGCAGCAAATGTAGAAATTGGCTTCTATTGACATTGAAAATTTGGAGTTATTCCCCATACTGCAACATCCTTGGACTCTGGGTATGATATTGTGTGGTACTTTCTTGTATAAAAAATTATGTGAACAGTACTTAGGCCAATTTTGTGTTCTCTTCTTAATGAAAACAAATCAAACGTTATGCACTATAAAATATTATTGCATCTTGGACAGGGGGGATGGTCCCTGGTTTATGGAACACTTGCTATTGTTGATGCATGATTGCCTTGTATACTTTGCTTGAGTTTAAGAGTTTGTAAGTTTTTGCTAATTATCAATTTTTTGCGTGAAGAAAACAAAGAGCCAGCAATAGAGGTGTTTGTGTGACCACTGTATCTTGAGGTGTGCTGACTACCTTAAGTCACTAAATACAAAACTGGCTGTATACACAGAAAGTGAAAGAGGATGTTATCAATGTGTGACTGATTATGTTTCTGTAGATACAAAGATAATGCAAGGGGTAAAGGACAGTGATGGAAAGGAGAAAATTATAACAGATTAATAAGATCACTACAAGTTTGTTTCTTTATACTGTTAGCAACTAAAACCATCACCTGACTGTCTAAACAAGCCTTTTAGCAAGTTACCTAAAGACTTCAAAAAATGAATAACATAGTGTAAAATATTCTGAAAATTATTGGTAAGTCAATGAATGACTAGAAACCCTTGCATAATTATTCCGTAAAGGCAAGCTTAAATTCAACAACTACAAAATCTGGAAATGGAATATGTATTTGAAAATAAATACCTATTGCTCTGCGAAAATTTTCCATTAAAACTTCTGTCTTTTTCACCTCAGCAGAATAAACTTCACTTCCCACCATAGGACAAAATGGAACCTTTGGTCCAAGCTCTTGAGCAATTGCAAGTGCAAGAGCAGTCTAAGGTTTAAAAAGAAATGAAAATAGGTAAATGTAATGATGAAATAGGAAATGCGCAATGTGTATCTATTATCAACTCAAAGATTTTTACATTTCCATTGACTACAAATGTTTTTATAATAATATAGTCTAAGAATATTAAGGCTCAAAATTATATACTAAAATTTGAAAATAATTTGATAATAATGCAAGGCTCAAGCTTCTTTAAATTCCTTTGCTGAGTTATTTTGAAAAGCAAAACAAATGCGAGTTTCACACTACATGTCTTGAAACAGATGTATCTAGGCTTGGAGCCCCTAGAACTATAAAGCAATACAGTTGTACCTTGTGTAACTTAAAGACTCATTGCTAACAATGGGCCTTTGCGAGCGTGGCAACGATCCAAACAATGGCAGTAAACTTCTACGGATTAACCAAAATTGGTTTCAGACTGTCTGAAAATGCATTATGGGATGCTTGCGTAGCGCAATGGCTCATTGTTAGCAATGAGTCTTTAAAATAAATAAGAAAATGTTAAGAAAATAAAAAAGGTTAAGAATATTGAGCCAAAAAATTATGTATTCTTACAAAAAAGTGTGTCTGGCAAAACAGCAAAATGTTACTGTGATTGGGAACAACTTTAAACTCACTTGCGAAAACTTCAGGAAATTAGCAGAGATTTTGAACACAAAACTAAACTTTTTCAAAATAAGATGCCATTTTAATATTTGCAAATCCTATCTCAAATTTTCCTTAAATTAATTTTGTTTTAGCCTGTTAGATTCAAAGTTTTAATACCTTTGACATGATTGAAAATGCATTACAACACTAGTTTCAAAATAATAGAATTATTTCAACTAAAAGATTCCAGGGTTCTAAACAAACCTTTCCAGTCCCTGGTGGTCCTGCAAACAACATAGCTCGGCCAGCCATCTTTTTGGACCTTATAAGTTCAACGATAATACCACATGCCTGGGAGATAAAACACACATTTCAAGGTAAAATTTCCAAAATATTAGGATGAATCAGGAATTCAATTTATATCAAGTATATATGTTCTGCGATTGCAGTTGCAAGAGTTACTGTGAGTTATTTTTGGATGCATATCAAGTTTCTGTGTATATGTAAATTTGATCAAGATTCTCTTATGCATTAACACTCAGTTCTTTAAATGCAACCATTGCCAATTGCATTCAAGAAATCAATTGTTTATCTCAAATTTGCAAAAATCTTCAAGTGCCAAAATTAGCCAAAATTGAAATTACGAGAGCAGGTTTATTTTTGCAAGGTATATTGATGAAATGACATTGCATGACGTATGGCATCGTTGAAATGAAATAGTATCTTTCATGTCACTTCTGATCTTCTTTGGGTTTGATTTTGGATGGGAAATCTGGCTTGCTTTATTGCTCTTACTTGAAGCTCAAAGATGAAAACGAATAGGAGGTCCTCACCGTATACCTGAGATACAAGGCACATTTTCTTTAAGGAAAGCGTTTAAGTAAATTATGACAAACCTCTCGTGCATTTTCTTGACCAACTAATCCAGAGCCAATCGGGTGTGCAGAACCTTCGTCATTCAAGCCTAGGCCCTTCACGTGGCTATGAGAGGCGATTCTTTGTGTCTTAGTGGTACTCTTTACTTCTTCTATCTTCATCTTTACAAATACTTGCAAAAACTTCACGTGAATTCGATAGCAAGCTTGGGTGCGAATAAGCAAGATCCCTACTTCTCTTGACAAACGTTGGCAGCCAAACTTCGCTTAGGCCCTAGTGCATATGGTTGCGCGCGCTAGCCCCAGATCCCCTCTCGTGTCTTGGAGTGAGCCATTTTGTCGTGACGTCATAGAATTTTGGGTATCGCGTCCATAGCAACAAAAGGGTGATGTAGCGATGGCGGGCATTCAGATGACAGAAAAAATTTGGACAGTTTTTTTAGAGAGATAAGTAGCTGCAGGCAACACCAATGTATTTTTTCTGATAGAAGCTGGCCTTGTTTATAAACCGTAACAAAAGGTGTTGACTGCATTGAGACTATTTCTATAGCTTTTAGTGATTTTAACCCCAGGTGACAAAGCCCGAAAATGGGAGAATTGCTCTACCGTACAATAACGAAAGCCTTTTTACAGTTTTTTATTTTGATATTTTGACTGGTAGCAGTGAAATTTTCAAACCGCTTTCAGCCTTCTGGAATGGTCAAATGTTATTGAGCAATGTATTCTTGTGGAATTTCGTTTCAGGCCTGTAGAAATCTTTCAATAAACGATTTTCTAGTCATCAAAGAAACAATTGGAAGGAAATATCGTAAGAAGCCAAAAATTTTCAACGATGATGAAATTAGCACTTGATGTTAAACATTGGAATACTTTCATCCATCTTGTTTGATAAGAACACTTTGTGAAAAACCATTTCTCTTACTCGGGAAATTTGTTATTTTGCAATTAAGCAAAAATTATGAGCTTTCTTGAAGAATTTTAAACTGTAATACCTTGCTAGGTGTCGCGATTTATGCCTTCTAGTGTCCCTAAACAAAAACAACGTGAAGTGCAACAAACAACTTTTAGCATACATTATTTTGGTTTATTTCCAACTGGAAAACTATCAAGGAAACAATTTATATTTCTCACAGCTGTTCTCAGGCTGCATCTAACATGCTCCGCAGCATTATAAATAGTCTATTAAACGGAAGGTCAATTCAAAAGAAAGCCTACTTCAAAACTTTTGTATCCATCCAGAAACCAAAGAAAAGACAAAAAAACTCCTATTAAAAGAAGTACAATGTGACCTTGAAACATACTAGCAAGCGCAGTCCCAAGTAAAAATTTTTTAATGTTGAAATATGGAGTAAAAAAGTAGAACAATGAATACGCAGAGGGCGACATTGGAAAAATCTAGTGAGTGGAATCCTAAGGGAAGGAATTCGAATGTGGGAATATGAAGATAAAAAAGTAGAATAATGAATACGCAGAGGGCGACATTGGAAAAATCTAGTGAGTGGAATCCTAAGGGAAGGAATTCGAATGTGGGAATATGAAGATAAAAAAGTAGAATAATGAATACGTAGAGGGCGACATTGGAAAAATCTAGTGAGTGGAGTCCTGAGGGAAGGAATTCGAATGTGGGAATATGATGATAAAAAAGTAGAATAATGAATACGTAGAGGGCGACATTGGAAAAATCTAGTGAGTGGAGTCCTAAGGGAAGGAATTCGAATGTGGGAATATGAAGATAAAAAAGTAGAATAATGAATACGTAGAGGGCGACATTGGAAAAATCTAGTGAGTGGAGTCCTGAGGGAAGGAATTCGAATGTGGGAATATGAAGATAAAAAAGTAGAATAATGAATACGTAGAGGGCGAAATTGGAAAAATCTAGTGAGTGGAGTCCTGAGGGAAGGAATTCGAATGTGGGAATATGATGATAAAAAAGTAGAATAATGAATACGTAGAGGGCGAAATTGGAAAAATCTAGTGAGTGGAGTCCTAAGGGAAGGATTTCGAATGTGGGAATATGAAGATAAAAAAGTAGAATAATGAATACGCAGAGGGCGACATTGGAAAAATCTAGTGAGTGGAATCCTAAGGGGAGGAATTCGAATGTGGGAATATGATGTTAAAAAAGTAAAATAATGAATACGCAGAGTGCGACATTGGAAAAATCTAGTGAGTGGAGTCCTAAGGGAAGGAATTCGAATGTGAGAAAATGAAGATAAAAAAGTAGAATAATGAATGATCGTTAGAGGGCGACATTGGAAGAATCTAGTGAGTGGAGTCCTAAGGGAAGGAATTCGAATGCGGGAATATGATGATAATAAAGTAAAACAATGAATACGTAGAGGGCGACATTGGAAGAATCTAGTGAGTGGAGACCTAAGGGAAGGAATTCGAATGCGGGAATATGATGATAATAAAGTAAAACAATGA